CATGAAATTTTTAGAGTAGGTGTAAAATTGATCAATGCGAGGGTACTGAAAGTTTCGTCGCGATCGGCCGCTTTTTACACGAGTTATTCGCGAAAAACCTTAGGGGGGTTGCATCAATCCCCCCCCCCCCACCACCTCCTGTGCCGGCGAGGGTTAAATAATAACGCTATACTTGCCGTGCTATATTTACATTTATTTACTCAAAAATGATTAAATTTTATTAACAATATTTAAAAATAGCACATTGATTTCAATAAACGAAAGTCATAGATTTGCTGCCGGATGCTGGGGCTCCTCATGAGGAGCATGGAGATGCCGATTGCCAGCTTGTCCACCTGCAGCGCGTCTCGAGCACAGGGCGATACTATGCGCGTTCAATGCTCATGTTAGGAATAACATGATTGATACTCCAATACGGAAGTGTCATTTGGAGCGGTGCAGCCCAGTCCCACCTGATACGGCTGGAGCGGCTACAGCACTGCTTTCTCATGTGGCTAGGGGCTAAAACGCGGAGGAACTGTCCTATGGACTATCGTAGTCTACTGCAAACCTTTAGAACTGAGTTCATCAAAGCTTGCCTCATTCATACCGATGTCATGTTCTTGTACCAACTCCTTCACCACCGTACCGACTGCGCTTACCTGGTATCGATGTTTGGCCTTAACCCTCGCCAGCACGGGGGGGTTGATGCAACCTTCCCCCCTCGGTTTTTCGCGAATAACCCGCGTAAAAAGCGGCTGATCGCGACGAAACTTTTAGTTTTAGACCTACTTTCCGAGACCATGTTTGGCCGGAATCGCGATTCGGCGTATGTCGGCTCGCATTAGCCGCGCGTTTGCAAGCTTTTCGTGGTTTCAAACGTTCAAACATGTGATCTGATGTTGCCCCCATGCATGGTGGATGTCAAGGTCACCTGATGGTCAGGTCAGGTCATTGACCTTTGGTGACCTCGGTTCTTTTTTTCGAGTTTTACATGTTTCTAGGCTAGTTTTTTTTAGCTGAACTCGAATTTATCAACCATTTCAACATTTACGAAGTAGTTTTGGTGCCTTCGTAACATGTTACGAAGCTGTCAGAGGCGCGGTTGACACGTTCTACGAATACCCGTCACGGCCCCTACCTGACCTGACCTGACCCGACCTGGTCTAAATGCCCAAAGACATCATCTGTGATCAAAACTAACACGATATTAGTGATCAGCACCCCAGAAAACCCCATAGCAGCCACACCTTACGACTTTCTAACAGGCCCCGATTTTCCCGACTTTTGGGTCATTGACCTGACCTGGAAGGTCGGCCGATGATCTAGGACCTTAAAATTGGATATCATCGGCTTCCTCTCGTGACGGGCAACACGCTCGTTTTTTCCTCGAAGCTCTAGCTCGATCAGGGACCAAACGCGAGGGGGGGGAGGTCGTACCAGCCCCCAACCCCCCTTGTGCCGTCGAAGGACGCAAATTGGCCTGTGCCGGCGAGGGTTAATGTGCTTGGGAGGCGTAACCGCCGCACGGGCTTGTTTCATGTGCCCTTCGGGTGAGTGAACACCGTAAAGAACTGTCTTTCTGTGCATATTCCTCGGTTGTGCAATCAATTTTTGGCACAAGGTCCGTGCGTGGACTTTTACCACCCTTCCACGTCTCTCCGGCGTGAAGCTTTCCAGTACGCCCGAACACTGCGCAGCAATGGGATCTCTCTGTCATCATGTCCCACTTGATTCATTGACCCAGGCTGTACTGAACTTTTAGAATATTACAGAAAATTGGATATTGTTAGGCAAGTGGCTGCTTATACATGCTTGTATGTTTTACCCAAACAGAGGAACTAAGCATGGCGTTGTGAATGTCGATACATTTTACAGCCATTGACATTGTTTGCCATTGACAATACTGCCATACAGCCATTGACAATACTGATTATTGAGAGCCTTGAGTCAGCTGGGAATGCTTTGAGGAGGCTGGGGGTGCTTTAAGGAGACAGGGGGTGCTTTAGGGAGGCAGGGGGTGCTGAGCTCAGGATTGGGGGTGCTTGAGCACCCACAAAGAGATAGGTATAAAGTTACGCTTATGAGTCTGAGGACTTTACATATAGGAACGTTGAAAAGCAATCGAATGCGCTTTTTTTCGCGGTGCTGTAGTTCTATTCTTCCCCGAGTTATCGCCAGTTTGTCAATAAATGTTGAAACAGACAACATTTCACCTTTGATGACCTCTGGTCACCTGATATTTGACATTTGACTTGACCTAACCAAAGTACGGTTAACCAACTAACCCAAGTAGTTTTTGACACTCTTTCGAATGCCGCTTACCGTGTGTCGCTACGTGGCCCAGTAGCCAAGTTATAGGGGTCGGGAGGGGGGTTCAAACCTCAGCCCGGCGCCGGTTAAGGGAAGGCACTATCATTTTGGAGGCGCTGCAGATATGCTAAGGGACGACAGCATCATTTTGAGGCGCGCCACCAACTTTTTTAGGGCACTTAAACCACTTTGAGGGGCACCACCGACACTGTGAGAAGCGCAATTATCTCTTTGAGCGTTGGGGGTCGCACCATTACATTGAAGGGCGCCATGTGCGCAGTGATGTGGGGCAAACTGACAATGAGGAGCGCCTCCGATACTTAGAAGAGAGACGCCAACATTACTCGGGGGGGGGGGGGGGGGGCAACATCACTTTTATTTTGAGGACGCCACCCCATTGTAAGGGGCGGCACTGTAACTTTAAGGACCGCCGCGGATACTTTAAGGGGCGGCTCCATCATATGGAGGGGCGCTACAGATCGTTAATGGGCGGCAATAGGTATGATATTTAAGGACTCCGATACTTCGAAGGGCGCCACCGTTTGTTTGAGGGTGACATCATCACTTTGAGGGGCACCACCGATACTGTTCGGGGCGCCACCGACACTGCCAGGAGCACAGTCATCACTTTGACCGGCGCTTCTATGACATTTAAGGGCGCCGTGAGCACATTGGGGGGGGGGGGGGGGGGGGGGGGGCACCATGACGTTGAGGGGCGTTACGGAAGGTTTGAGGGGCGGCAACATGACATTGAGGAGCGCCTCCGACACTTCGAGGGACACCAGCATTTCTTTGAGAGGCGGCACCTTGACTTTTGAGGAGACACCATCGACACTGTAAGGGGCGGCACCATCACTTTGAGGGGCGCCACGGATGGTTTGAGAAGCGGCACCATTATGTATATGGAGGGACGCTACAGAAAGTTAGAGGGCGGCAACATTGTATTGATGAGTTCCTCCAAAACTTTGAAGGGCGCCACTGAGTTGACACTGTAAGGGGCGGCACCAGCACTTTTAGGGGCGGCAGCATCATTTTGAAGGCCGCCACCGACTCGTTGACAGGAGACACCATCACATTTAGGGGCGTCACTGGCACTTTGAGGGAGGCACCATCACATTGAGGGGCGCCACCGATGCTGAAAGGGGCGGCATCATCTTCTTGAGGGGCGGCATCATCTGCTTGAGGGGCAGCTCCATCACAATGAGAGGCGATGTGGATACCTAGAGGGGCGGCACCATTATATTGGTGGGTTCCTCTGACACTCCGAAGAGCGTCACTGACACTATGAGGGGCGGCACTAACACTTTAAGGGGCGGCAGCATCATTTTGAGGGGCGCCACCGACTCGTTGGCGGGCAGCACCATCACATTCAGGGGCGGCATCATCTTCTTGATGGGCGGCATCGTCTGCTTGAGGGGCGGCTCCATCACAATGAGGGGCTATGTGGATACCTAGAGGGGCGGCACCATTATATTGGTGGGTTCCTCCGACACTTCGAAAGGCGTCACTGACACTGTAAGGGGCGGCGCCAACACTTTAAGGGGCGGCAGCATCATTTTGAGGGGCGCCACCGACTCGTTGGCGGGCAGCACCATCAATTCAGGGGCGCCACCGGCACTTTGAGGGCGGCACCATCACATTGAGGGGCGCCACCGATACTGAAAGGGGCGGCATCATCTTCTTGAGGGGCGGTATCATCACATTGCGGGGCTCCACAGATGGTTAGAAGGGCGGCACCATTTGGTACATTGAGTGGAGCTACTAAGAGATTCAGGGGCGGCACTGTCACATTGAGTTGCGGGATCATCACTTTCTATAGACGGCTGCTTCACTTTAAGAGGCGGCATTATCATTTCGGATGGCAGCAGCCTCACTATGAATGACGGCACCTAGCCTGCATGTGCGTGCTGCATCCTAGAGGGGGCGGCAACTGGGTCGGCAAACGGCTGTCACTGGGTCGGCATTCTCCGTGACTGGGTCGGCAATTGCCGACCCAGTTAACATGTTAAAATACGCCCTGTGGGCTGTGACACTTCTTCAGGAAAATGCTTAAAGGGACCCTCCCACCTTCAAAAAAGTTAATGAATTGGCACGAAAGTGATGTCGCTCGGTTCAGAAAGAGCGAAAACGAATATCTACCAAATTTCATCGAAAAATATTCACCGGTTTTCAAGATATTAGACTTTTACTTTTGTTTACTTTTTGGGATCTCCGCTGTTCCTAGCGACTTTATTTGAAAGTGCGGCATTTGTTGCGCGTAAAGCAGCATATACCACCGCGTGCTACCAAACGTTTTAGTAAAAGATTTAAAAATCGTTAGATCTCCGCTGACGTCACAAATTCTAAGGGGGCATACCAATGCACTAGCCCCTTAGAATCCGAAAACTGCAAGTTTGAAATTCCATATCTCCGAATTAAAGCATTTGTCGATGTTGTGAGTGCCCAAACCGGTATTTGCAGGCCATGGCCACCAATTTGGCTATCTCAACTCAAAACTAATGTTAAGGTGGGAGTGTCCCTTTAATAACAAAAAAGTCATCATATTTCAGGCACGAAAGTGTGATATTTTTGGAGAAAAATGATGTCGGCTTCCGTTGAAACTCCAAGTTTTTGATTTCCGATCGTCATTTTCGAACAATATATGACATAGTAAAGCCCTGGGCATCTTTCCCCACTCTCCCCTATTATTTATTCATACGAATTCAATCATCCATGGGTGTGAATACTTTTTTTAACGTAACAAAGAAAACACGCTACTGATAGTGGAATTTAGATACCAAATCAGCGCCATTACAATGCTGCCAAATCGCCGCCATTGCACATTTTCGTGATTCGGGCGTCGCCATTTTGTTCAGACTCCAACGTTGAAATAAATTATCACCTAAACGCATGACACTATCGTTGGTAAATCTCGCATTTTAATTGGTCAAATTTGAATCAAGATCTATAACAATACTCTAATAACCAATGAAAGTCGTCCATTTTGATGACGTCATTAAACCAAACAAGGGCTAAATTGCATAGGGCTGGCCGGCCGCCGGCGTTCTTTCTTTGCGGCGTGTCGCTTGTCGTGTGCGTTGTTGTCGTATGTGATTGTGAAGCAATTTTAACTTATTGAACGAAACTTACTACAAACAGGTGAGTTTTTCCAATTTTCATACGCGCTTTGCTTATTCAATGGATATTGCATCTTCATAGTGTTCATGGGATAAGTTTTTAGCATGCGCTGGTTTTGCCGCTTTGAAGAGAAATTTGCGGGATGCGTGGAGGTGGACTCATTCTATCGTCTGGAAGAAGATGGGCCCCTCTTGCACGGTAACAAACCCTGAATTCGCAGTCTCCTTGGGCGAATATGTTAATAAACTTGCCACTGTATTTAGATTGAGATTCATATTCAATATTGATGGTCTGTGGACATGGGCGGTGGAACGGGGAGGGCACCAGGGCACCGTGCCCCCTTTGATTTTGGCATTATAACATTAGCCCTATGGGCGTTGCCTGTAAAGAATGGGACCAAAAGTCTGCACTGCCTCCCTGAATTGGTGTTTCGCCGCTACTGTCTGCGGACCATTTTGATTTAGAATCACATAACCAATTTTGACTAAAACGCAGTTCACACTTGCCCGTAAGGTCTGCCGGTGACGGGTCCGACACCGTCAAAAGGGCCGAAACTGATGGAGCGACGGCCGTCAGGTCGACGGTCATGTGTGAACCGGCAGCGCCAGTCTGAAAAGTATGGCAGAGTTCGACGAGATCTCGTTGGGGCAGGGTCAAGATGGAACACGGTAGTTTTGGGGCAGGATTTCAAAAATTGGGGCAGGATTTAAAATTTTTGGGCAGAAATTACCATTATGGGGCAGCAAACCTGGTCTGTGGGGCAGCAGTGTCGTTGGGGGGAAACGCGTAACACGGTGCCTACGCCTCTAAAAAAGTAAAAAACAACGATTATTGTTGATACGGCGGCGATTTAGCAGTGTGCGCCACTTTTGTCTCAGGCGCGTCATTTTTGGATACCGTCATCCCTTTACACAATTTCTCTTCATAGAGGAAAAGGAATTACTTTGACTGCACAAGCTATCACTCAAGTATAAATTTTACATTTCTTTAATTTTAAGCTAACTTAAACATTATTTTTAACAACAAATTATCCTGTACCGTAAACCGGGGTGAGTTGATATGGATTTTGAGGTTATTCTAGATTTCGTTAAAAGCCACATTCATTTACGGAATTCTTTTTGTGCCAGTTTCATGGCACATGCCTTGGGGAGGCAATCAGCAAAAATGAATAAAAAATGTATATATTAAGCCCCTTTTTTAAAACGCCAAAGTTCATATCAACTCACCACCCCACAGGGGGTGAGTTGATATGATTTTGGATTTTTCAAAATTTCTCGGCTAAAGAAGCTCAGAGGTGAGTTGATAAAATGCCAGTGTTTAAAAAAAGGATGAGAGAACACATCCTGAAAGAAACCATTAGAAAAATGCTAGTAGTTTGGCAGCAGACCTCACATTCATGAAAACGCAATCATGTCCAACACAGCGCGATCAAAATGGCTTGATTTTAGCAGCATCATTTTTTCGCTTTATGATACTTAGTTTTACTTCGAACATTCTGAACTTGGCTAGTCACGTGTCCTCAAGCCAACGGTATCAAAACTGGCAATATATTTTGGAATTACAAGTGTATTTTCTTGTAATTAAAACACATTGTCAGTTGCGGGTCAAGGTTGATATGCCTCTGACAGAAACAATGGATTGAAATGAAAGAATACATATACTTCTGAGCTTTTGTTGACTGGTAGTCAACAAAATATTAATGAAGTGAAGTGAAGCGAATCTAATTCGGACTGTATTCTAAGCGACATAAAACAGAATTCGGCATCAAAAGCCAAAATTAACCCTCGCACTTATAGGCGGGCGAACGGACCACCTCGGCTTTTCGCACATAACTCGCGCAAAAAGCGGCCTATCACGACGAAACTTTCAGTACCTCTCGAGTTTATCAATTTTACACATGTTCTAAAGATTTCATGACTCTGACTCAAATGGTTTTTGACTTGTGACCTGATTCTCGAGACCATGCTTGGCCGGAATCGCGATTTGGCGTAGTCGGCTCACATTATCCGCGCATTTCCAGTCTTTTTGTGATTGTAACGTCCAAACATGTAAATGATGTTGGTCCCACGCAGTATTTTGGGTGTCAACTGTCAAGGTCACCTGAAGGTCAGGTCAGGTCATTGACCTTTGGTGACCTCGGTTCACTTTTTGGAGTTTTACATGTTTCTAGGGTAGTTTTTTCGGGCCGATTTCGAATTTAACATGCATTTGATCATTTATGAAGTAGTTTTAGTGCCTTCGTAACATGTTACGACACCGTCAGTGGTAGCTGACACTTGACACTCCCTATGGATAGCCGGCAGGACACCTACTGGTTGACCTGACCTGACCTGACCTGGCCTAAATGTACGAAGACATCTGTGAGCAAAACTAACATGACATTCGCGATCAGCAACAGCCAAAAAATAATAAACTCGCTTTACGAACTTCAAATAACCCCTATTTTCCCGACTTCTGGGTAATTGACCTGGCCTGGAAGGTTAACCAATGACCAAGTTGGTTATCATCGGCTTCCTCGCGTCTCGGGCAACACGCTCATTTTTTCCGCGAAGCTCTAGCTCCACCAGGGGCCAAACGACGATGGGATTCCAACGGACCCCCCCCCCATACGTTAAACGCTGGCAAAACACGAATACGGGCGAGGGCCAAACACCAGTCAATTTCTTTATATTGTTTGTTCCATTTCATTTTGCCTCTCATTCTCGGTTGGCAACTGCCAAGCAGGAAAACTAATCAGTTTCACGAGATCAGAATTCCCGCGCTGTTAGCCATACAGAAATGACAGTTCTGTCATTTTCGAAACTACGAATAAATATAACAGTTTTTTTAATCTGTATGTAATATAGGTGTTCCATAGTGTTCCTTTGTAGCTTGTAGGGAGCCATCTTGAGACTTGACAGGGAGCTGTGCTGTGCCTTTTGCATGTTAGGTATGTCCACAGAAAAAAAAACTTTGGGGTTACTGATGTTAGTTGTCCGACCCTCGTCCCCGTCTTGAGTTGAGATTCAGTTTCATAACGTTTCGGCCAGTTACTCTCCGGCCGTCGTCACTCGTCAGGTGTTCTTTGACCCTCAAGGACCTGGATGTTGGTGGCGTTGCGCCGTACGCGTCAAACATTTCGAAAGCTCCTGTAGTCAGCGGGAATCGAACTCGGGTTTCCCCGGTGATGGTCCACGGTTGTAACCACTCCACTATCGAGGCAGGCTTGACTACGGCCGGAGAAGCTACTGGCTGAAACGTTGTGAAACTAACATCTCAACTCAAGACGGGGACGAAAGTCCGACAACTAACATCAGTGATACTAACAGGCCTCGTCTCAAGCATTCAGAAAAAACTAAAGCTTTTGGGGTTGATGGAATGATGTGGGGAAAGAAAAGGAGAAGAGTTGGTCTAATTGACTTTGTCTTACCTGCAGACCCATATTTCATGCTAATTTGCATGCCTACCAGCCTGGTATCAGCTTTTATCATGCATATCAACTCACCACCTGATGGCATATCAACTCACCACCTGTCACTTTTCTTAAAATTATAAAAAAGCGTTGTTATAGGTGAAACCCAAAACTACCTGGGATCAACAGTAAATTGATGGTAGTTTCTTTCCCAGTGCATGTTGTTTCATGAATATCCACCGTCTTTGCTGTAGGGTGGGGACTTTTCCTTAGTTTCAAAATCAGAAGAAAAAAAGGACTTTGAAAAAAGTAATGTGTTAAGAAGGCACTGCAACACATGCATGCCTTTCTCAGCTATATGCATCACTTATTGGTTGCTTCACTTCACAGAAAAATAAAACTAAAAATTGGTTTACAAATGGATGAGCAGCACACATTTTAACATTTTTCGAGCAATTTATATCAACTCACCACCCCATATCAGCTCACCCCGGTTTACGGTATGTATTTAAAATACCGAAATATTAATGCAACGTGAAAGTACTTTTTTAGTGTAAAGAAAATCCTTCACGAGTAATCGCGTCAAAAACAGCCTCTTTGTGTTCAAGGCCCTGTTGCGTCGTTTGTCGCTTGGTTTGTCGGGTCGGACGTACGGGTAAATGAACTACGGGATAGGCGTTTTGATGAAAATATTTACCATCAATGAGGACAGTAACTATTTTTCTTACCGAATAATTCCCTTTGTGACTGATTTATCGACACAACTCCCGATTAGAGCCGTTGCCATGGCAACATGTGACAGTTTTGCACCCTGCGTCATCGTCACATTTTTAGTCAGAACACTAACTGCTTTACATAACCATAACCTTGATCAATGTGTAGATCCTTTTGTAAATAAATGTCGGAGTTGCATTGCCGAGGCCGAGAAACATTGGTGGGGGTAATATAATAAGTGTGAATTTTATGCTATATATGGTATATTTACATAGTACGTAATCTAAGCTGCCCTGAGTAGATGCCCCATTTGGGGCAGAATTTGGGCTACCTGGAAGTCAACTGCCCCATTTGGGGCAGGATTCCGGCTGCCCCAAACACCTCGTCGAGCTGGCTGCCACGTTTTGCAGACTGGCGGCAGCGTTTGACGGCCGGCAACAGCTGACTTCGCCGGCGCCGGACCTGACGGCCGTCGCTTTGGAAAGTTCAGCAATGTTCAACTTTTGACGGTGACGGGCCCGTCGGTTTGAATGTCTGCGTGTTTGAGGAAGAGGAAAAGTAACATTATCATGCAGCATGAAGCTTATATGCATTTTTAAGATCATTTATACCATTTTCCATGCATTTGTTGAGATGGAAGTATTTATTACGGCACGATATCTTGAGATTCGATCCCTGATTTAAATCAACGAAATGATGTGTCTTTCATTTAAATAAAATTGCAGCATTATTTGACATAAAAATGTAAATGCGTGGTAATTTATTTCTGTAATTCAAAGAATATTTTTAACCTCTCAGCCCCCATCCCCTTCCCCCATCTGCGTCAATCTAGAGATTGGTGCGCCATTTCTGTCACAGCATATGGCAGCCAATGGGAGCTACCAAATCTCAACTTTCGTCTGACGGGCTGCAGGCC